GCCAGTTCAGTGTGGCTACTGGCTTCTGAGTGGCTATCAAAAACCCACAAACAGGGGCAGAGTAGATAGCTCAACTGGTAAAGTATCTGTCACACGAGCATGAGGACCTTAATCTGGACCCCTGATATCCACGTTAAAAAAATACAGGTGTTGATGGGCACATCTGCAACCTCACTGCTGTGGAGTATGGAAGTCATCAGATCTCTGGAAATTATTAGCTGTCTAACCTAGCCAACTGGTGAGCTCTGGGTTCTGTGAGACTCCCCATCTCATAAAGTAATGTGGAGCATGATCAAAGAAGCAATCTGGCATTGTCCTCTGATTGTATGTGCACACATACCCACAAATCCATGTGCACACCCCCATAGGAACATCCACACCAACACAGACATAGAGCACATCGACACAGACACACAACACACGAGTGGGGGAAACATAAAGGAGTAGGGCATGTGGCCTGCAGGTACTCCATGTCAAGTGTGTGCAAGAGAGGGGCAGACACTAAACTCCATGCAAGGCCGGGTGTGCAATTCTCTTGAGCAGGAAGCCCCTAGGATTTTGCTCACTTCTGATTTTATTAAGACAAGGCTGAAAGGGCTTTTGTCCACTGTAGCACCGAAGCAGAATGTGTTTCCATTTCTTCTTTGCTATTCCATCCTTCCTTTCTTCTGAAAGATTGTGAACACACACACACACACACACACACACACACACACACAATACCACCTTAACGCTCCTATCATTCCTCCAGTTTCCCAGCTGCATCTGAGAGAAGCCGACTCCCTTCCAGCCACTTGCTTGAGTTTCCCAGACAGCGCCGTCCTCTAATTCTGATAGTGAGAGCCTGATTTGTCTGCCTGTCTTGAGCCACCCTCTGCACAGATCTCCATATGAGGTTTGGAAAACATCAGAGTGACGCACCGAGTGTGACACATGGTTCTGTTCTGAGGCCACCTTGTTCCCCACCTGCATCCTCTCCTCCACTTTGGGCCTAACCTAGGCACCCAGCAGGACACCAGATCCTAGTGTCTCTCTTCTCCGAATACTCCACTCTGATATTTATGTTCTTCCTTGTGCCCTTGGCTTCTCCTCATGGGCAGTACGATTCCCCCATACCTGCCTAGTGAACTACTCATCTTCAATATCCTTTTCAGGCATTACCTCCACAGACCCTTTGAGGGCATCTTCCTCGAATCAGGTTCCTTTGCCCCTTTCAACTACTGCAGCGAGGCGGGCACTGAATGGCATTCTCGTTGCCTGGTACTTAGAGGGTGACCAACAAACCCCCGTTGAACTGAACTTGGCCTCTCTTTGATGTGTCCAGAAGCAGGAAGACTGTGAAAATGCTCTTCTAGGAATTCCCATGGCATTTGAACAAATCAGCAGTGAATAGGGCGTTTAAAAAGAAATTATCCATTAGTGAGTACCATAACAAAATGTACAAATATCAACTCTCTGGCAACTAATCCAGGCAAAATTCTGAAGCCTGCCTGGGCAAGAGAATTACCCTGACAAGAAAGAAAAGACCAAAGCTTACATGGTTGGAAAAAGTGTCCTTATGTTGACATCTAAAAGAAAAGATCAAGTGTACTAAGAAGTTGCCCTAGAGATATCACCCAAACAGAAGCTGGAAAATTCTAACAACATTAAGTAGGAGAGACACCGAATTCTCTTTACTAATAAAGGCAATCTGAATGGGTGGGGTGGGTGTCAATAAAACTAAGGTGAGGACATGTGAAAGAACATTGGTGTTAATCCCCACGAAGAGTATCTTTTACTTAATGAAAGTACAAGTTCAGCACACAATGTCTAAGTTCAGTACCAATTAGCAGATGATTAACAAAGTTCAGAGGGTCTTCTTTTCCTCCTTATCAGTGAGACCATAGCCCATTTGAACTCTGCCCTTCTAAGTTCCATGTAAGGCAATAGCACATAAGAAGAGGCACCACGTTTCCCCAAGGAGAGTTGTATTTCTTTTGGTGTGCCTTTGACTTGGAATCACATTGATTATGGATTCAGTTTGGAAATGTGGACCGCTTGCGCCAGGGTAGCAATGCCCAGATAGTTTACATCTGTCCATGTCTCAGCTCCCATTTCTGCAGATGGAGGGATGGCCTCTCTCCCTGACTTCTCCCCCTGCTGCAGGTTACACAGCGGAGAGGGGCTGTGATGCTCTTTAAAACCATGAGCATCTTAAAAGAAGGCACAAAGACTCACTGTGGCCACTGCGTTCGAAAATCTGACCCAGTTTGTGGCTTTAAAAAAAATGGTGTTTTCGTTCCTGTCACCAGGATACCGTGTAACTTCATCCAGTAAACTTGAGCAATGAGAGGGGCAGCTGCAGCTAAGGAACACACCTGGAGAGGACAGCTCCTTCACTCCTTGAAAGCAGCATAGACATTTTGTCCTTATCTAAGGACTGGCTGCTGAGAAATGCTTGCCCTCAGAAAGTTTTAGGAACCTGCTGCAAGGAGGCATTAGATGCATCTGTGTCCCTCCCTGGGGGGCTAAAACATGGGTAGCTTCTTTGCAATCTCATCACTGTAGGCACTTGGCCAGCTCTTTGGAGCGTGTTATGAATTCTCATTTTCCATAACTCTATTCTGAACCAATTTATGGCTGACATTACCTGTTTCTCATTGGCTATGGAACTTTTTTAACAATTAAGAAAGTGGAAGTTAAAAAAAAAAAAGCCCACCATTTTCAAGCTGAAAAGGTATTCATTATTTATCTTTCAAAGGGGAAATGCAGCGGAAGAGTATTTTGCCAAAGTGACATGGAGGATGCTCTCTGGGTCCTCTTGGTTCATTATTCATTTGTTGAATGAGAAAGAGCCAATTACTTATCCAGTAAATACTTATTTGCACCAAGTCTTATGCTTACCCTGGGGCTACAAACACGATCCTTGTTCTCAGAGGCTGATAAAGACGAGGGAAGGAAGGAGGAAGAGGCCGAAATGAAGTGAGCCCTGTGCCTGCAGCTGGTGCTTTTCCTACCGACTTCCTGTACCAAGTGAGGAAGGAAGGGAGATGACAGCGTCCCCACCAGGGACTGTGAACCCAGGCACAAAACCCTGCACATACACACAGAGTTTAGTTGACATGATCCCCACACAAACTGTCCTCCTTCATAACCCACACATACAGTTTTGTTAGAAAACAGAAAATGGGGTGGGGTGGGGGGTGACACAAAGTGTTAGCCTGATTAAAAACAAACTATCAGCATTTTAGAGAAATTCTTTCCAGTTCGTTTTTCCACACGTAGGTTAATTTTTTAGTTTTTAAAAGTGGGTTTCACAACTGTAATCAAAGCATGGTATACCACATTTCACTGGACTCGGGACAATGCTGCCCGTGAATTGCTCTGTTTGTCTATAGACCGACCACCAGAAAGTGAGATCGCTACCGGCTACAGGATGCCACTGACTGAGAGAGATGCCCAGATTTCAGCAGCATTGAAACACGGACCTTGAGACACTGTTTCATGGAGATGAATGACTCTGACTTCCACTGGGCCCACACCCATGCAGCCCACCTCACTTTTAGAGGGGTGCTAGTGGCTTTCCAGACCATGGCCCTGGGTCTCCCTTCATTAGAAAAGCTGCTGGCCAGGAAGAGAACTCCTTTGTTCTTTTTTATCCAACTTACCTTGAGCACCTGCAGCAGACACTTACAAAACCATTTCCTGGTGTAATGGAAGCGTGAGAAGATGTTCATAAGCAGAAGGAGGTAAAAATGACCACTGAACCGAGATGTCTAAGCTTTGCTGGGAAAGAGCAGACAAGCAGGGGGTGGGGGAGATGGATGGGGCTTTGACTCAGAGCCAGTGACACTGGCTTTCTGGTGTCCCCCCTTGCTACAGATGACCACTGTCATTTTCTTGTCTCCTCTCTGCTGCTCAGGGTTCCCTCTGCTTCGAGGCTCTTGGTCAAGTTTAGCACCACCACACTGCTGGAGTCTACTATCTAGGGACATTATTCACACTCAGAGTAAACACAGGCTTGGGATACCATCCAATAATTCCAACTGATAACCCATATAAATATTTGTTATCAGTGAGAGGACAAAGGCAAAGACTCATTTGTGGAGTCATCAGAAGGTATCTCAATGGACAGTATCATTTCTGCTTATATAGAATCCTGGCAACAAGAAGGAAAAGGATGTGTCAGTTGGAGTCTGTCAGATTTGGCATTTCAGTTCTCCGTGAAATCCACTTGAACTGAGTAGATGAGTTTAAATAAAGAAAAGAAACTGAAGCCGACTCAGTCCTCCAAGTGTGGTCCTTAGTGTTGTGAACACAACACTGACACAGACTGAAAACGGCTGTGATTTCTCATCTCCTCATGTTCTTTTCGTCCTCCATGAACATGTACAGTCCTTACTATACATGAAGACATGTGTTGAGTTCCCTAAGAGATATGATGGTGGGTCAGATAATGCTGGCCTCCGAAACCAGTTTATATACTAATAAAGAAGATATGTTTTATTCAGATAAGCGATAAGACAGAGAGAATGGAAGTTCTACTAGAGAAATAGAGGTGAGACAGAGTCCGTTCAGAGCCAGGGCAGATGATGGGGAAGAGGTGTTGACCTGGTTCATGGGATGGAGACGATGGACATGGACGGCAGGGTGCTTGGGGCTTCCTTTCACACAGTCTCCTGATCATTCAGGAGCAGGGTGCTATGGCTGGAGTCTGTCCTGGAGGTGCTACAACATCAGGAACAGAAATGATTGCCTTGGGCTGACAACAATGGGTGTCATAAGCCAGTCATCTGAGGAAAGTACTATAGGACTCCATGCCTAATCAGTGTGCTAATAAGTGTGTGTGTGTGTGTGTGTGTGTGTGTGTGTGTGTGTGTGGTGGGTGGAGCAGATTCTAAAAGCCTGTCTGATGTAAAACAGAACATTTGATACCCACAACTCATCACTAGGATACTTGATTAAAGGCCAGAACAAAACACTGCCTTTCACAACTCAAAGGGCTGCCAGGCCCTGCTTACCATGGACGTGGATACCATTTGACTGAAAAGCAGAGTTTGTTTCTGGCTGGTAGGACTTCAGGAGGGAGCCTGGTGGCTGCTGGGTGTGGGCAGACTGTGTCCTCTGCAGCAGTGACTGAGGAGCTGGAACTCTTCCTGGGCTGATGTGGTGAGGAGATGGAGCCGGAGGTGCAAACCTGGGAAAACAATTCCAAAAGGCAGCATGACCAACTACCCAAAGCCTTCTAAGTCCCCATTCTGGCCCTACATTGTATGAAAATACGCTCTTTCAAAAACCCTTCCTAACCTTCTCTTTTCCTTCCAACCACTGGGTTCTTCTCTGAGGCACAAGGGAAGAAAAGACACCAACAAAGAAAACCTTAGTCACAGTTTGGGTTTGTCAAACTTCTTAAACTGCATTTCAAATCCTCTGGGTTTTGTGAAATTCAGAGCCCTTCTATTGCCAGGCCCTTTTCCTGCTAATTTTAAAATCCGTTCACATTTTAGGGGAAATTCGATTCGTATGTTTCTGAGTCATTTACACTTAGCTCATAAACATTTTGTTTTGTAAGGCACATCTGAGGTCCAAGAAGTGTTCCGGGTCCTTATTATGACCCTCTCTAACTGGAGTCGCCTTAAACAATGCATTCTCTCTTGCCAAGAGCAAATTAACTTAAACCTCAAAGGTCAAATGTGCCTTGAAACCCAGAACCTGAGAGGTTGGCTTGGGTTCTGTGCTGGGCAAAGAACATTCTTGATGGGATAGAGGGAATGCAATGTAGAGCATTCTTTGTCATAATGTGTAACAATCACAAGATCGTTGGGTTTTTCGGTTTTGTTGAACCCAATGCCTTGCACATGCTAGGTAAGCACTCTACCATTGGGCCGTTCCCTCAGCCCCAGTCCAAGAGTACTGGTTTCTGAAAGGAGATATATGATATTTAAACAAGGAGAGCTCACCAATTAACCTCAGACAACGGCATATTTATCTTCTCATTGTGAGGTTCTGAGTCACAAGATTTAGAATGACCTTTACTATCTTTTTTTTGTGTGTGTGGTGGTTTGTTTTGTTTTTCGAGACAGGGTTTCTCTGTGTAACAGTGTCCTGGCTGTACTGGAATTCCCGAGCTTGTATGACAAACACTGTATCCACTGAGCCAGCTCCACAGCCCATGTATTCCTGTTCTGTGTGTGGACATCATGTGGATGCACGTGGACGTGTGCAGGTACATACGGGTCAAAACATGTTTATTTTCTCATTCTCCAACTTAATTTTTGAGATGAGATCTTCGAACCTGTGGCTGACTGATTTGGCTAGACTATACATCTAGAAAGCATCACAGATATGTCTTCCTTTCTACCTCCTCAGCATTGGTATTATGGGTGTGCATTGCCACTTCTGGCATTTTTTTCCATGGGAGCTAGGTCCTCAGTGTTTAATCAGGGAACGCACTTAGCCATCTCTAGCCTCTCTTACTCCCTTTTCAAAGAATGCAATATTCCCCTTCATTCTGAATTTCACCTATGAGTGTACTAAGCAGGTCTGACTCTGTAGCTTTGGAGATCTCACATCTGGCCTCAGACTCATAGAGATCCACCTGCCTCTGCCTCCAGAGTGCTGGGATTAAGGGCGTGTACCACCACTACCAGGTGACCTCTACTGTCTTAACAGTGAAGGAAGGTGAGACTTCTGAGAACAGCCTTGCAGTTGGGAATGTCCACAGAGAAATCAACAGGATTCGATGTTGGTTCAGTGGGGACTGTGATATTCATGGAAGAGAAAGAAGCTGAGGGTCTTTCAACGCCATGAGAATAAGCAGCAAAATAATTTTGGGTAAAAATATGCTAGCAGCCATGTGGCAGTGGCACACGCCTTTAATCCCAGAACTCAGGAGGCAGAGCCAGGCAGACCTCTGTCAATTTGAAGACAGCCTGGTCTACAGAGCGAGATCTAGGACAGGCACCAAAAGTACACAGAGAAAGCCCCGTCTCGAAAAAACAAAAAACAAACAAACAAAAATAAATGCTGGCAATGAAGTATTTGACCTCTTCTCTCCAAAGTTCACCAACATGAAAACATTTAATTGGTGCCTGTTTACACTCTGCAGGAAGAATAGCTTTATTTTGCACTAGCAAATACAGGTCATTGTCTATGACATTGCTTGTTTTATAGGAACAACCGACTCCACAAGCCTGAGCATACCTGAGAAAAGGGGCAGGTGCATTAGACAAATTTACAAAGTACTCCCAAAGGCTTTGAAGCCGAGTGAGGACTCATAAGGCAGAGCGTCAACGTTGATGATGAGGGAGTAAGAGAGTATGGGACAAAATGCCATGTTCACTTTGCATTTCACTTGTGAGGGGTAATGAGACTCTAAGAAGTCTGCAGAGAGGCCAAGAGGAAGAGAGGGACTTAAAGCAAACAGATCAGAGCATCCACGCAAACCAGACATGACAGGACGCCTATGAAGTGGTCACTTAGGTTTTATTCTAAGGAAAGAGAGCAGCAGCCGCATGTCCTGTGCTGGTAAATGTGCACTTTTCTAAGCACGTCCTCTTAATTGGGATTGGGGGGAATCTCTGTTAAGTGGCCCTGAGAGAAAACACAGCAAACAAATCCTGGCACTGGCCTGAGACCATCTAGTAAAACACATAAGCCAGGATTCCCCATATGGAGGCTATTTTCTGGGGACCATGTCCTTACTGTGTCTCCAAAGTTACTCTGAGCTTGCAGGAGACGAGTGAGGAATTATGGAATCACAGACTTTGGGGATCGATGGAGTCCACACTAGTCCTGGAAGCCACTGTTCTTACGGTCCTTGAGGTAATGGGGGGAGGGACTTGAATTGCAAGATGTGACCTATATCATTATCACGTAATCACACTGGCATTTCAACTTTTTTGGGAAAACAAAATAATTAAGACCACTCTCTTGTCTTACTTCTTTATTTGAGAACAAAAGGCACAACAAGCTAGATGGTCCTCTGGTCTTTCCTTTGGTGCGTCTACTTCCCTCAGTCTAGACAGTCCTCTGGTCTTTCCTTCTGGTGTGTCTACCTCCCTCAGTCTAGACGGTCCTCTGGTCTTTCCTTCTGGTGTGTCTACATCCCCTCAGTCTAGATGGTCCTCTGGTCTTTCCTTCTGGTGTGTCTACCTCCCTCAGTCTAGACGGTCCTCTGGTCTTTCCTTCTGGTGTGTCTACCTCCCCTCAGTCTAGACGGTCCTCTGGTCTTTCCTTCTGGTGCATCTACCTCCCCTAAGTCTAGAAGGTCTTCTGATCTTTCCTTCTGGTGTATCTACCTCCCCTCAGCCTAGAAGGTCCTCTGGTCTTTCCTTCTGGTGTGTCTACGTTCCTTCAGTCTAGAAGGTCATCTGGTCTTTCCTTCTGGTGCATCTACCTCCCCTAAGTCTAGAAGGTCATCTGGTCTTTCCTTCTGGTACATCTACCTCCCTTCAGTCTAGAAGGTCCTCTGGTCTTTCCTTCTGGTGCGTCTACCTCCCCTCAGCCTAGAAGGTCCTCCGGTCTTTTCTTCTGGTGTGTCTACCTTCCTTCAGTTTAGAGCTGAAGGAGCAAAGCAATGAGTGGACAGCCAAGTTGGGACTATCTGGGGACCCTGGTACAATCTGAGGACATAACCCTCGTCCCAAACAACATGATACATCTGAATCACATAAATTGGGTTAGTAAGGAATAGAAATGGTGTTCAAAGATTATGAAGAGAGACCAAAGTTCTTCCAAGTAAAAATCTAATGCTTTTCTCATTTGCAATGACAGGGTCAAAGGTTAAATTATGACTACTAAGCAGAAAATGGGGAAGGCAAAAATACAAGGGTATAATTTATTAAAATATTTTGTCATCCATAAGTAGATTATATTATACTAGGTATGGAGTTTATATGTGTATGGTTTTATATAATGATGTTCTCATTCCAAATTATTACCTATTCAGAGAAGTTCCTGGGCATACTTTCTTGGCTACCACATATTATTTAATATTGATAAGGATAAATAAAGGGGAAAATGTGGTGGGTACATACCAAGAATTTAGCATTATTTCATGACCTAGAGGTGTAAAATACTATGCCTTCCACTTAATCAACATCTGCCCATTGCTAATTCTCTGCCTTCTGTGTTCTTCACACAGGTGAGACAACACAGCACAGGGTTAAAAAACTGAAGAAAACATTTCTTTTCTTTTTTTTTTTTTTGGTTTTTTGAGACAGGGTTTCTCTGTGTAGCTTTGCGCCTTTCCTGGAACTCACTTGGTAGCCCAGGCTGGCCTCGAACTCACAAAGATCCGCCTGCCTCTGCCTCCCGAGTGCTGGGATTAAAGGCGTGCGCCACCACCGCCCAGCCTAAGAAAACATTTCATCTGACATGAAATACCATTAAAAGTTTAAGTACAAATTCTTCCAAGTGAAACAAATCTTCACAAAGTAGCCTTTGATTTAAAAGGAGTCAGTACAAAAATTTTAACTGTTGCTTCTACAGAGAAATTATACATAAGAAGTGATCCCAGCTGGGCAGTGGTGGGACACACCTTTAATCTCAGCACTTGGCAGGCAGAGGCAGGTGGATCTCTGTGAGTTTGAGGCCAGTTTGGTCTATAGAGCAAGTTCCAGAACATTCAATGCTATACAGAGGAACCCTATCTCAAAAAACAAAAAAAAAAGCAAAAGGAAAAGAAAGAAGTGATTATGTGATCATATTTTCAGACAATTGCCAGAAATAAGGAAGCAAGTAAGAATCAATAACTTAAAATTCCAGCACAAGAAATCTATTTATAAATAGGAATGTTTTCCAAGCACAGAATCAATTTATACAAATTTACAAGTATCAATTAAAGAACATTTTGTTATTTTCATCCATGAATTTTTAGAATCAGTTTTATTTCTGCCTAAAAACACCAAATAGTATTTTTTCTTTTTCATTCTACTCTCAAATATTACATCCCAATCACAGATCCTGCTCCCTACACTCCTCCTACCCCCTATCCTCCCACCCCCTGGCCCTCAGACTCACTGCTCCTCTATTTCCCTCCAAAAAAGAACAGGCCTCTCAGGATATCAACCAAACGAACATATCATAGCAAGTTACAGGAAGACTAGGCACAAACCCTCATATTAAGGCTGGGCACAGTAACCTACTAGGAGGAAAAGGGTTCTAAGACCAGGCAAAAGAGTCAAGATACTCTCC